CCTGCAACCATATCTGTGGACATGCTTGTACCATAGGACATACAAGATACAAAAGCAAAATGCCATTTCACTGCGTTTGGAAGGACCTTCCATTAAAGAACATGGAATAAATCATGCTCTTTGGGTCTCTTGAGGTCTCAGATTTGCATTCAGTTGCCTATCTGAGAAATGAAAACAAATGGGAGGAAAGATATTCCCTAAGTCCTCAAGGATGTGTTCCTCTTCTTCACCAATAATCTACCAATCCGTTACTGAGCAGGAAAGGAAGCAAGGCCATGAAATGAAAACTTACAGCTGCTGAGATAGGGGTGAGCCATCCAGCCATTTCCAGTGATACCCGCTTTCTTGAACTCTACTTAATCCAATCCAATGATTGTATTTTATTTTTGATTGAATAAGGACCTGTGACAAAATTGGAATTATTAGTATTATTCATAGTGTCAGTGAAAACATCTTACCCACAGAGGACTCATAAATAAAACACTGGGCACTTTTATCTTCAAACACCTTTTATGATAAATGGAACAGGCAGGCTCATTTCTCCATGGGGTAGACAAGACACAAGAATGGAAATGCTTCAGTGAAGGACTCACTCAAGTCTTTGTGACTGGATCCAAGATATCAGCAAAGGGAAAAAAACAAATCTCCGTATATGATAAAGTAGAGAGATAAATGTGATTGCACTAAATCAGGAACTTTTCCTCTTCATAAGACGCCTTACAGCATGTGAAAAGACAAGCCTCAAGTCTGGAGATATATGCAATAATTTACAGAACAAATACATATTTCTAGAAATAAACAAGGAAAAAAATTATCCAATAAGAAAAAAAATGAACAAATGAGAACATATTTCAAATAAATGGGCAGTATAGCCAAGAAATAGAGAGAGAGATGCCAAGCTCACTAGAGATCAGGAAAATTCAAATCAAAGCCACCAGGATATATTTTACTAGTATTTAATTGGCAGAAATTAAAAATAACAGCACCAACTTTGTGGGATGGTAGATATCAAATCCATCTTTCAAAATGTTGCTAAAATCATACTGAAATGTAATTTTAAATTATCACATGAAAATGGACCTTTAGGAACGCTGTCCCCAATGATTTCACTCCTACGGTGATTTGTGGTCAAGAGAAGTGAGGACACACAAGAGAGTTTTGCACTGAGACATGTCTAAGAATGATTCATGAAGGACTGTTCCTAACCACAAAAGGTAGAAACAACCCAAACTTTCATCTTGTAGAGATTCTTAGCCACACTGGGGAATATTATACAGCAGGGAAAAGGAAGAGACTATAGCTACAAGCGGTAAAACTCTGTATCCCATTAATTTGCTCTACACACCTAAGGAAATAAAACTTCCTTGAGAATTTTCCTTCTGTATGCAGTGGATATCATACAGTCTGTGTTAACAGTGTGGGCACTGAATAATGCATGCAGTGTCTAAAATATCTCTACCATAAAAATTCTGTAAGTTCTTTGTAATCATTATTCCAATTGGCATATTGAATGGAAAGTAACAAATTAATGTCCTTGGCTATAAGCAATATAATTGAATCTCTCTCAGCCTCTCTCTCTCTCTCAAACACAAATGTACCCAAAAATACACACATGCATCAATATTTCTTCACAGTAATTACATTGTATCAGACAAATTTGAAGAGTGTATATTGAATGCCTAAGGAAAACGGATGGGAATTATAGAAGTGTGGCAAAAATAGATGTTATCATTTCTAAGTCTCCGAATAAACACTGATGTTAAATGTCCCTTGATTCTTTCACTCACATAATTTTGCTAGATCGTAGGGGTATGCATAGGTATCAAACCCAATTTCAGTTTGCAGTATCAATGGACTTAAGCCCCTCCTGTCATTACACTCCTGGGCTTGGTAAAGCAGCAAAACATGGCAAATCCTAAACCATCAGTGTAAAAGTAATGCTGTTCTGTAGCAAAGTCGATCTCCAGTTCGGAGAGTGTATCAGCAGCCCAGTTCAGATACTGACAGCCAAGCTCTAATCAAATTAGGTGCTAGACTATGAAACTCAGATTTTGCTCTAAACAATGGCAAAAGTCTCAGGGAATTTCTAAGGCTCTAGATAGTTCCTGGAAAAACAGGGATAACATGTATAAGAAGTTTCATGGAAACTCTGAAGTCCAGAAACTTCAATGGCAGGACTGAAACTGAAGAAAACTGAATAGGAAATGACAGGGGAAATACGGATTAAAAATAAACTTAATTTGTGAAAGAAGAAAACTCCAACCATTTGGAAGTTGATTGATAACAGCTGAGGTTGAAATCAATCAAGGTACTTATTAGGTCCTGGATTTTTAGGTCCTGGATTATTAGGTCCTGGATTATTGGTCCTGGATTTTTAAAATTTGCTTGAACCAATGTGCTAATATGTACTTCATTTGTTTCTTATACTTATGAGTGAATCATTCACATTCATATCATTATTTTAATAAGAATTTTATAAACAAGAAACACAGGGCTCTTTTTGTTTGTTTGTTTCTTTGTTTTTGTTTTTAGATAAACTTTACATGCAACATGGGATTGAGCTCACAGATCAAGAGGCACATGGCCCACCAACTAGGCCAACCACATGCCCCTGAATATTGGCCTGGTTTGGGTTTTATTTTGTTTTCTTTTTTGAAAACATAGGGCTTTTAACTCATCCTTCACAAGACACTAATAGAAATATCACTGCTAGACCTAGATCATGTAACTAGAACTCAGCGCCTACATGGAACATTTATGGAATCATTAGAAGGAACCCCACAGAATCCATTCTACTGACTTTATATTGCCAAACATTAAGTGTAATGCCAAATGTGATCTAGATTTTCTCTTCTAGAAAAGGGAGGCTTTCTATGTCATTCTGGATTATAAGCAAAAGAAAAAAATCATTTCCAAAGAATCATTCCAGGGTGCCTGGGTGACTCCATTGGTTGAGTGTCTGATTTGGGCTCAGGTCATGATCACACGGTATGTGAGTTTAAGCCCCACGTCGGCTCTGTGCTGACAGGTAAGAGCCTGGAGCCTGCTTCAGATTCTGTCTTCCTCTCTCTCTGCCCCAATCCCACTCGCACTCTGTCTCTGTCTCTTACAAAGTGAATAAAGGTTAAAAAAAATAATTAAAAAAAAAAGAATCATTCTAGCTACATTCAACCTCTTCATTTTTCAACCTCTTTTCCCATGGCCATGAAGGGAGAGACTCATCCTTCCGTTGAAGTTGAATCCCTCCAATATACTGATGAAGGAACAATAGAACTCAGTACAATGAGAAATTATCTCTTTAGAATGCTCATAACCTTGAAGCAGTTGTTCTTTTGCCCTGTATTAGCCCTGAGAAGATAATGCTCAGCCATTTGAAGCATACTAAGTGTTAAGATGCAATATATACAATACTAAAGACTGATAATCATTCCATGGCATGCCCAGAAGAGCTGTTCTTCTTGATTTCTTTCAATGGTTCTTCGTGGTCACCTTCGTGGTCACCTATGTCTCTTCCACAGAGAAATCTGCACCAGTTAACAAAGTGCTTCAAAACAACATGCCAAATAATATTGGAGGAAAGTCGAAACAATTATCTGAACTCCAGACATGCCTTGCATACTCAAAGCGTTTACATCAGGTTTAGGAAAGTAGACATACTTGCTCCTCTTTAGTATCAATCTTCAGGAGACTAGCCTGCAGATCTTGGCATGACACCATGCTCCTTTCCCAAGTTTTCTCCTCTTTTGAAAAGTGGTAACAGCTTTTTCCACGGCAGTACCATTTTCCTTGAGATGTGTCATCGTCTTCATTCCATGCTCATGGATTGGAAAACAAACATTGTTAAAATGCTGACACTACCCAAAGCAATCTACACATTCGATGCAATTTCTATCAAAATAACTCCAGCATTCTTCACAGAGCTAGAACAAACCCAAAATTTGTACAGAACCACAAAAGACACTGAATAGCCAAAGGAATGTTAAAAAAGAAAACCAAAGCTGGACACATCACAATCCTGGATCAAGCTGTTTTACAAAGCTTTTTCACCAAAACAGTATGGTACTGGCACAAAAGTAGACACACAGATCAACGGAACAGAACGGAGAACCCAGAAATGGACCCACAAATGTACGGTCAGCTAATCTTTGACTAAGCAGGAAACAATATCCAATGGAAAGAAGACAGTCTCTTCAGCAAGTGGTGTTGAGAAAACTGGACAGCAACATGTAGAAGAATGAACCTGGACCACATTCTTATGCCATACACAAAAACAACTCAAAATGGATGAAAGACCTAAATGTCAAAACCATCAAAATCCTAGAGTAGAAAACAGGCAACAACCTCTTTGACCTCATTCACAAGAACTTCTTACTTACATGAAGACATATCTTCAGGGGCAAGGGAAACAAAAGCAAAAAGGAACTATTGGGACCTCATCAAGATAAAAAGCTTCTGCACCGCAAAGGAAACAATCAGCAAAACTAAAAGGCAACCGACGGAATGGAAGAAAATATTTGCAAATGACATATCAGATAAAGGATTGGTATCCAAAATCTATAAAGAACTTATGGAACTCAACACTCAGAAGGCAAATAATCCAGTGAAGAAAGGGACAAAAGACATGAACAGACACTTTTCCAAAGAAGACATCCAGATGGCCTACAGACACATGAAAAGATGCTCCACATCACTCATCATCAGGGAAATACAAATCAAAACCACAATGAGATACTACCTCACACCTGTCAGAATAGCTAAAATGAACAATTTGGGCAAGAACGATGTTGGCAAGGATGTGGAAAAAGGGGAATGTTTATGCACTGCTGGTGGGAATGCAAGCTGGTGCAGTCACTCTGGAAAACAGCATGGCTGTTTCTCAAAAAATGAAACATAGAGCTACCCTATAATTAGAAACAATAATGGCACTACTAGGCATTTGGCCAAAGGACACACAAATGCTAATTTGAAGTGTCACATGCACCCTAATGTTTATTGCACCAGTATCAATAATAGCTAAATCATGGAAAGAGCCCAAATGGCCATCACCGATGAATGGGTAAAGACGATATATTCTACAATGGAATATCACTCAGCCATCAAAAGGAATGAACTCTTGCATTTGCAACAATGTGGGTGCAAGTAGAGTCTATCATGCTAAGCAAAATCAGTCAGTCAGAGAAAGAGAAATATAAGATTTCACTCATATGTGGAATTTAAGACACAATATAGATAAACATAGGGGAAGATAAGGAAAAATAAGCTAAACACATAAAGGGAGGCAAACCATAAGAGGCAAACCAGAAGAGACTCTTCAATACAGAGAACAAACTGAGGGTTGCTGGAGGGCTGTTGAGTGAGGGGAGGGCCAAATGGGTGATGGGCATTAAGGAAGGCATTGTTGGGATGAGCACTAGGTGTTGTATGTAAGTGATGAATTCCTAAATTCTACCCCTGAATTTATTACCAGATTATATGTTAACCAGCTGGGATTTAATTTTTTTTTAAAGTAATGTGTCATGATCTTTATCTTGAAAATAAAAGCCACATGATCCTCAACCACAAGACCACTTAGAGACGTATGCTTTTTTTATGTATACATATATGTGTATATATATATATATATATATATATATATATATGTATATGTATATCTTGCTTACATCAGACTGAATGACTAAAAAATAGGTGGTTTTCCTGTGTCCCAAAAGTCTCATGTTGAGAATAGCTTTGGGGCCAAATTGTGGAGCCAGTGACTGACAGTCGTCAGACCATTGTTAGATGATACTGAGAAATCTTGACTTCCCAAGTACAGATATACTGCTCCAATAGGAAGCAGTTCTCCCTTCCGGAGAAATCCACCTAAGTGAATATAAGAGGATGGTATTAATTCCAAGAGATCTAGACTGGAGAAAATTCATCCACAAGCAGAAATGAATCAAGTCAACATCACTTTGTGAAAGTCAAGAGTTCAATTAGCTAGAAGAAAGAAAATGGATTTAATTTTATTTATTTTTTTTTAAATTTTTTTTTCAACGTTTATTTATTTTTGGGACAGAGAGAGACAGAGCATGAACAGGGGAGGGGCAGAGAGAGAGGAAGACACAGAATCGGAAACAGGCTCCAGGCTCTGAGCCATCAGCCCAGAGCCTGACGCGGGGCTCGAACTCACGGACCGCGAGATCGCGACCTGGCTGAAGTCGGACGCCCAACCGACTGTGCCACCCAGGCGCCCCAAAAATGGATTTAATTTTAAAAAGTGAGAAAAATTAAAGGACTTGACAAAATACAATGTAAAGTTTTAAAGTGATATATTAAAATGGAACAGAATGAGAAAATTCCATGGAGGAAACAACTGTAAACTATCAGTATAATCCTTCAGTACATACCTGTAGTGGGTAGTAAAATTAAATGATCTTCAACTTCTGCTAAGGAAGCATTCTTGTCTTCTGGTGCTTTCATATCTTGCCTGATTTCTCCAGACCACCCGTGAGAAACTTCAATTCATATTATAAAAATAAGGTCTTGAATGCTTGCAATAGATCATTTTATTATAATCACTCACCCTAATTCTAAATGGCACAGTGAGTGGCACTGACTAAATGAAAGTACGATCAGAGAAAATGCCAGGTTACAATATGTCCAAGTGTCAGAACATAAAACAGATTTTTAAATAAAATGATAACTTGCTATACATTATTTTGGAAGTACGTGAGAGAGGAATCAATTTTTATAAAACAGAAATGTAAACAGGAAGTGAAATATACTTTTAGTTTCTATGTCACCTACTCTTCAAATAATGATTACAAAGTTAGTGAAATTAGTAGCCAGTATTTTATTTAGCATGTAGTATTTGCACAGGAAGCTAAACACCAGGGATTTGACTCTCCTCTAGTACATGCTTATAATTAATTCACTGAATATACATAGAGGAAGAGCACACATGGCGACTTCTAATATGCAAAAAGTAAGTGAAAAATCTCTGAGCAAATTGGCAGTATCTTCTCCAAACTCACAAATAAAAAAGTGTAAAATCACGCAGTATATGGCTCTTTAAGTGTACAAACACGAAAAGAAAGGTCCCTTAATGGTTTGTTAGACAGTTAAGAATCGTCATTTCCAACTCTCTACCACGCATCATTGAACCAAATGCAACGTCTACTTGTAAAACTCCAACATCAATTGCACAGTCTCCTGATGTACTCCATGGCAATAAATATAACCCCGGTTCAACTAAGTCATCCATTCCAGTCTTCATATACTGGATCTGAATTGAAAAGACACCTTAAGGGGCCCCGGGATGGCTCAGGTGGTTAAGCGTCTGACCTGGGCTCAAGTCATGATCTCACATTTCATGACTTCGGCCCCGTGTCTGGCTCACTGTTGACGGCACAGAGGCCACTTTGGATCCTCTGTCCCCCTCTCCCTGGGTCCATCCCCACCTCTCCTGTGCTCTCTTTATCTCTTTCTCTCAACCATAAATAAAAACCATTTAAAAAACCACCCACATTAAGACCTCCTGTACCTAAATACTACCATTTCTTGGGACCAGTCAATTCCCTTGTCCTTTCCTTTTTGTCCATCCAAGGACACGTAGTACAGAACTAATTTTGGCAGGACCTCCAAGAAGCTTGCAGCATAGTCTTTATGCACATCTAAAAACTTCACTGGGGCTCTTGGCTAACTCACTGCATTGAGCAAGCCACTCTTGATCTCAGGGTCGTGAGGTCAGGCCCAAGTTGGGTGGGGAGCCTCCTTGAAAA